CCGAAAAAAGGCCACTCCAAGACATATTTTTCTTTCGAAAATATTGATTTTCTGCTCCCGGCGCCCGGGAAACCCCTTCCGGGCCGCTTCTGGCACCCGGGCCGGCGCTCGAGCCGAACGCCTGGGCCAGCACCCCGGCCAGCGCCCGGGCCGGTTCCGGCGCCGGCCGGCGCCGGAAAATTGAATTCCGAGGCGGTGCGGAAAAAAGGCCACTCCAAGACATATTTTTCTTTCGAAAATATTGATTTTCTGCTCCCGGCGCCCGGGAACCCTTCCGGGCCGCTTCTGGCACCCGGGCCGGCGCTCGAGCCAAACGCCCGGGCCAGCACCCGGGCCAGCGCCCGGGCCGGTTCCGGCGCCGGCCGGTTCCGGCGCCGGCCGGCGCCGGAAAATTGAATTCCGAGGCGGTGCCGAAAAAAGGCCACTCCAAGAAACATTTTTCTTTCGAAAATATTGATTTTCTGCTCCCGGCGCCCGGGAACCCCTTCCGGGCCGCTTCTGGCACCCGGGCCGGCGCTCGAGCCAAACGCCCGGGCCAGCACCCGGGCCAGCGCCCGGGCCGGTTCGGGCGCCGGCCGGCGCCGGAAAATTGAATTCCGAGGCGGTGCCGAAAAAAGACCACTCCAAGACATATTTTTCTTTCGAAAATATTGATTTTCTGCTCCCGGCGCCCGGGAACCCCTTCCGGGCCGCTTCCGGCACCCGGGCCGGCGCTCGAGCCGAACGCCTGGGCCAGCACTCGGGCCAGCGCCCGGGCCGGTTCCGGCGCCGGCCGGCGCCGGAAAATTGAATTCCGAGGCGGTGCGGAAAAAAGGCCATTCCAAGACATATTTTTCTTTCGAAAATATTGATTTTCTGCTCCCGGCGCCCTGGAACCCCTTCCGGGCCGATTCCGGCACCCAGGCCGGCGCTCGAACCGAACGCCCGGGCCGGCACCTGGGCTGGCGCTGGCGTAGCGACTTCGGTTTAGCAAAGTAGAGTGCCTTATCACACTTATAGATGTAGCTGTCTCAGATGCAAATGTACTTACCGAAGCCGCAACTATACTTACACGGTGTCCCTAACCATACTTCCACAACAATTTATAATCGACATATAACCATCTTATAACTTTCATAACTTTCATAACTTCTTCAATTTCCATGCCCCTCCCCTCCCCTCCCCCCCTGTGGTTCGGTAGTTAGCCAGTAGGACGGCGAGAAGAAAGGAGGGGGGAAGGAGGAGGACAGCGATGCATTCGCTAACGCATTCCTGGGTATGAGCGATAAATTCGCTATGTGGTTCTCTGAGCGATCAATTCGCTGTGCAATTATCTGAGCGATCAATTCGCTATAATCGATGAATTCGCTATGTGGTTCTCTGAGCGATCAATTCGCTGTGCAATTATCTGAGCGATCAATTCGCTATAAGCGATGAATTCGCTATGAGGCCCCTGCCCATGCCGCCCCCACTGCGCCATCATTCGAAGCCGTTTGCATACGCAAGCCCGCGCGTTTGTTTTTTGGGTGGGTGGGGCCGCATAGCCATGGCTGCCCAGCGCTTGCGCGACCAAGTCGAGGCCGTCGGGCGATTGCTCGAGGCAGTGCAAGGGCAGCCCTGTTTCGATACGGTGGCGGCCGCGCAGGAAAGGATGCTCGTGCAGGCATTCGGGAGCGCGAGGCTGCAGCCCACGCAGGTGACAACCCTCTCGTCTCTCGTCGCAGCGCAACCCTGGTCCGAGGTTTCCAAGGGGAGGCTGTTGGAGAAGCTCGGCAGCATCGTGGCTTCTGGCAGCGCCGTGGGTTTGCGAATGGCTCAGCAGGTTTATGAGTGCATCTTCGGGTACCTGACAGCGGGCTCGTGGCACCAGTTGGCGCGGACCGACGTGCCCGAGGAAGCGAAGCTCAACGTGCTGGTTGATGTTGCGATTAGCTTAGGACTTCGCAACCCGACCGAAGGCACGTATCAGATGTTGACGGCGATGTGGCGCATGGCCGTGGACGGAGCCGAGACCGCGAAGAATTTGGCGTGGGCTGCAAAGTACTCGTACCTCCAGCAGACCAAGCGCGTGTTCAAGCGCCAGGCTGCAGCTGAAATTGCGGCCCTCGTCGAGGGGAGGGGGACCTACGAGAAGGGAGGGTGGGGGAGGAGGAGGAGGAGGGGGAGGAGGAGGAGGAGGCAGTTTCCCCTGGCCGCAATTTCACCCACGAAGGTTTCGAGGCTTCCTGCGCCCCCCGTTCGGCTGACCGAGCTGCCTGCGTCCCCCTCGACGTTCTGCGAGGACCACCCTGGCTTCTTCAAGCAAGTGTATGGCGACGAGTTGCCAGCTGCATGCCCCGCGCCAGAAGCCGCGATTCGCTCCGTCCAGGCTACGTACCCATGCCGCAACACAAAGCAGCAGGCCACGGGGGCGCAGATGATGAGCGCCTCGGCGTCGCAGCCCGACGTTTTGCAGATGATGCAGCTCATGTTCGATAACTTGCGGCGGGCGGACGTCGGCGCTCAGACGGGCCCTTTGAACCTCAAGATCCTGGGAGGCGGCGCGAAACGTGCCGCGGCCTCGGCGTTCGCAGCCGTGGAGGACGCTGCCCCGAGTTCTCTTCCATCTTCCGCCTCAGAAGGGGCACCGTCGCCAGTAGCGCCAACGCCACCGTCGCCAGGGACGCCTGCAGCAGCCAGCGTCGCCAAAAAGAACGTGACTCCCCCCAAGAAGGAGGACGTCGCCTCGGTCACCGAGGACATCCTGCACGGACTCGTGGCCAAGGAGAAGGGGGAGGGCCCGAAGCCGAAGGCAAAGGGGAAGGCAAAGGGGAAGGCGAAAGCAAAGGCGACGAAGGCTGGGGCTAAGACGACGGGCGAAGGCCACGGGAAGGGCGTCACCGTGTCACCCCTGTTCAAGCCCATCAAGAAGCTCGGGTGTTCGAAGTGTCGTTGCGCCAAAAAGGGGTGCTCGAGTTGCAAAGAGCGGCTCAGGATTTCAAAGCTGCTGGGTAAGTAGCTCATAATGTGTGTAGGTTTCCTGAGGCGCTCTCGGCCGCGCTGGGTCCGCCACGCACTTTGCCAGATGTATTTCGGCCTGGGCCGTGCCGCACGCCGCACGCTCATAGTCATGCTACGGTGTTTCGGACAGAGCGTCCAATGCATTTCGCTACCGCGCTTCTGTATATGGGGCCCTGGAGAGCGCATCCTAGCGTTTGGGTAAGCCGCGCGAGCGCCCCAGGGAACCCTGCCGCTCACTTTTACTCTTGTGAGGGCGTGCCTTACCGTTGCCTGCGATGACAAAAAAAACAGCGATCCACTCGCTAAGCGATTCATTCGCTTGGGGATAGACAGGGTGAGATGGGGTGAGAGGGGAGAGTGATGGACCGCTGACTTGGAGAGGGGTAGGAGGGGTGAGAGGGGTGAGAGGGGTGAGAGGGGAGAGGGAAGAGAGGAGGGTGAGAGGGGAGAGTTATGGATGAGGCCTCGACCCCTCAAGCCAACCCCCAAACCTGCGTCAGCGATGCATTCGCTTTCCTCCGACCTCCCATCGAAGCAGCGCTCCCTTCACCTCAACCCTGTGTCAGCGATGCATTCGCTTGCTCGCGGAGCGCCCCTGCGACCGTGCCTTCGCATTGCCATTTCGGCTCAAGGCCTCGGCTCAAGGCCTCGGCGGCCGCGCCAGCGACAATGGCCGACGACGCGGAGAGGTCGCTGCAATCGTTGCTGTCTTTGGGCGACCCCTTTGCGCAGTTCCAGGATGGGGCACAGGAGAGCGGGGGCGCTGGCAACGAATCGCGCATGAATCCAACCTCAAACTCAGAGCCCCGCACGAGTCCCATCTCAGACTCAGAGTCCGAGGGGCGGAGCGCCGCCGACAAGGGCAAAGGCTGCAAGGGCGGGTGGCGCGCCAGCGGCAAGGGCGAGCCCGACAGCGACGGCGACGCGGAGAACCCGAGGCGCAAGCAAGCGAGGATGACCTTCCTGTGGAACACCCCGCAGGCTCTCAAGGACGAGGAGGACATGGCAAAGCAGTTCGCCGTGCCATGGGCCATGCGCGGCCCGCCTCCTCCAAGCGAGGGGGGGCCGACGATGTGGCGCGGCAACAGATGGTCAGAAGGCGAGCGGCGTTGGAAGAAACGCGGTGGCACGTCCAGGGAGTTCTTCGAGGAGAAGTACGGCTACGGCGGCTGGGGCTGGCAAGCAGGCCACGTGCCGAAGCGGCCTTCGGACTACAAGGGCATGGGCGGCGGCAAGGGCGCCTCTTCCAGGAGCGGCAAAGGCCAGGAGCAGAGCAAGGGCGGCGCCTTCTCCGAGCGCAGCAAGGGCGGCAAGGGCGGCAAGGGCAGCAAGGGCAGCGCCCCCGAAGGCACGCGGGCGCCGCGGGCGCAGGCCGCCTGGGACCCTCATGACCTCGAGGACATTTGAGAAAAAAAACAGCGATTGACTCGCTATGCAGTTCACAATCGATTGAATCGCTATGCAGGTCACCTCTCTCGTCTATCTCTCCTCTCTTCGTCGCGATCCAGGCCAAAATCCCCACGCCGCCCTCCGCCGCGATCCAGGCCAAACTCTCCGCGGCGATCCACGCCACGGGCGCCGTTCGTAGGTCAAAATCTCCGCAGCGACCCAGGCCAAAATCTCTGGTCTCAGTTTTTGGGCGGGCCCTTTCTAGGAATTTACTGACGCCAAAAATGGGTCCCAGATTTGGCGGTCCCTTCGTGGGATGTTATTGACGCAATGAAGGCCCCCAGATTTGGCGAGCCCCTCGTGGGAAGTTACTGGCGCAAAGAAGTGCCCCAGATGCGGCGGGCCGTTCTCACCCCCCTTCGGTCGCCTCGGCTTGCTCGACCTCCTCGCTCAGCCCCCATTCGATGCGTCGGCATCCTTGCACCCCTGCCCGTTGCATTTCCTCTCAGCGATTGCATACGCTCCATGGGGCGGGCCGCGCGAGTAGTCATCTGCATTCGTCTGGGCTCAATCTGTTTAGAACGGTTTTCTTTCTCAGCGGCCAAGGGCCAAGGCGCGTTCGGCGGGCAGCGATGGATGGGCCGTCGGAGGCCGCGAGTTCCAGCGGGAGTGAATGGCTGTGGCGCGGCTTTTGCCCTCGCGGCGATTGCAAGAAAGCTGGCTCGTGCATCTTCTCGGACCCTGACAGGGACATCGTGAAGGAAAAGGTGGCGAACCACTTGTGGTGTTCTACCTACCACAACGAGGACAACGCCCTCGAGTGGGAGGCGGCGTTGCAGGAGGCAGACAATGACGCGTTCATTGTCTACGAGCTGGGCACGCAGAAGAGCAAGAAGCGCCCCGCGCCATCCGTGGAACCGCAGCCAGGGCGGGCCGTTCAACAGCGGTCTTCAGGACCAGTCGGCCAGTACAAGTCGAAGACAGTGGTGACGCGGGACATCACGGTGCGCAAGGGCGAGCTGCAGCAGGTCATGGATTGCCTTGACAGGTCTCTGACTGCGACGGAGCACGCCGCGACCATCGCACGCAGCGCAGCGAAGGCGTTCGAGGACAGCGCTGCTGCGATCTCGGGCGCCAAGAAGACGCTCGAGAGCATCTGCATGCGCCACGTGGGCTGAGCCACTCCAAGACGCGGCCTGCTGCCCTGCGCTCGGCCTGTCTCGGGAGCCCGCCGATTCATTGAACAAATAATAGCACCCTCGTGACCCAACTTGAGCGATCGAATCGCTGGCTCTTCCTCGAAACCCCATTTGAGCGATCGAATCGCTGGCTCCTCTTCAGCCCGCCCATGCGCGACCCGCCAAGATGAGAGGGGAGAGGAGGAGGGGGGGGGAGGAGAAAGTAAAGAGGAGGGTTGAGAGAGGATGAGGATGTAGAAGAGTAGGAGGAGGAGAAGGAGGAGAAAAACCGAGAAGGACAGATCAGAGAGAAAAGGACAAGGCCCGAGAGGGAGCGTCAATATTCGTTACAATTTTGACGCTCGTTTCTGGTGTGGTTTCGGATACCGCATGCCCACCCACCCTCCACGCCCTACGGCGATTGGTGGTCCAACGGTGGTCCAACGGTGGTCCAACGTGGGTGGTCCAACAGA